ATATATATATAATCTTATGTGTATATTATTAATACAATATAATTTTGGTCAAATTTTGTTTTTTTTAATCCATGAAACTAATTAACATCTAATATAATGCATACAATTTTTTTTTAAAGTATAAAAGGTGGGAAAGTCATTTTCAGTTCCACCCTGACAAATTCTCGTGCGTTGCAGTGCCATTCATTTCAATGACAACCCAAACACGCCTGCAATGTGATTTCCTGCACCAGAATGCACGGTACTGCAATACCCTGTGTTCCAGTGCGGTGCAATTGGAAAACAATTGTGCATGCAGTTGTATTCTAAAGTAAACTGTAACTCCATTTGTGTATTTTATTTCAAGTAAAAGTGTTTTATTTTTTTTATCCGAAAAAATAATCGGCCAACTAATCGATTATAAAAATAATTGTTTGTTGCAGCCCTAGATTTCTTTTGAGTGTCTCTGGCCCCCATTAAAATCTAATTTCAACTGGTGTTTCCACTCTTCTGCTGCTTCCTTTTTTATTTAATTGGGAGAATTGGTCCCTGTTACAATTGCCACCACTTGTATTCAGACCTAAGAATTCACATGGGCTGACCCTTTAGCTATCAACAAAAACAATCCAGAAATGTTAACTGAAGGTGCTTCATTGAAACTAGAAAATTTAAAGTGGGCTAGCCCCCCAAGCTAAGGCCCTTATTTAACCAGTTGACATCCGCGGTGTTAAACCCCCTTCCCATCCAGGCCATTTTTCAGTATTCAGCGCTGCGGTACTTTGACTGACATTTATTCCGTCATGCAGCGCTGTACTGAAATGAATTTTATACCCTTTTTTGGGGACAGATAGAGCTTTCTTTTGGTGGTATTTATTCACCACTGGGGGTTTTATTTTTTTACTATATTAAGGAAAAATTACCGAATATTTTAAAAAAAAAACAGTTTCCCCTATATTAAATGATAAAACATTTATTATTACCCAATTTTTTGGTAAACTATAAAAGACGGGGTCACGTCGGGTAAAAATACACCAAACATGTCAAGCCTTAAAATTGCGTGCGCGCGCAAAACCTCAAAAAATGATAATACCCAAAATTGGCCATAGGCGACGCTTTAAAAGCTGTTACCGCTCATCAGTTTAGTGTTATCAGTGATTGATGGCCCTAAAATGATTTCTCTCACTGCGACGTTCGCGGCGATATGTAACATGTGTAGCGCAATTGTAATTTTTGCGCGCTGGGGCACCGGATGCGTATTTACGTTTATAGGCGCATAAAAGTGGGGGTGGGGGAGTTAAACATTTTGGGGGTTTTTTTCCCCTTTTTTTATGTGACTTTAATTTTATTTTACTTTTTTATATGTTACTTTTATTTTTTTTATTTATATTTTTTTGCACTTTTTGTTATTGCTATTATATAGGGGGATAACATTGGACGGGTCTTTTCTGCCCGTGCGTGCCCGCTAGGGGGCGAGCGCGAGCAGAAAAAAAATGCCGTCTGGCGACGGCAACCCGCCAATGCAGCAGTGCCGTCCGTCCGTTTTTCTACTACGGGCGGACGGCAAGAGGTTAATCCACATGCTCAGATGCAGTTTAAAAAATCAATATTCTTTTCTTTATCTAACCTTCCATACTGCAGGGGGTGACACCACCATTCTTCTGACAAGATTCTGGGAAATGCTGAGTAGCCCACATCTTGCGATAAATACTCCCAACACGTCTTCTCATGAGAATGCAATTTGGAATACAAAGTATGGAAGATTGTACTACTGGAATATTGCTGGAGGGAGGGTGACATCACCCTCATCTACGTGCTCTAGAATAGAACATTTACTAACCTTTTCTCCCAAAGGCTTTTTTTTGGCACTGGGGTGGGAATAAATAAATGGACCTTGCAGTTTTTTTTTATTCAAGGTTCAGTTAATTTGTGTTGGCCAGATGTTAACTTTAAAGGGGAAGTACTGGGAGAGTAAAATGTACCTTTCCCAGTACTTAAAGCTGGCATATGACACTGCAGGCATCACTTGCTGGTTCTATAGATTGCGAGTGGAGTGATCAGGAACTGCTGATTTGCTCAGCTCATGGTCTTCTCTCTGCACAAAGTGACTTCTCTCTGCCTGTCAGTGACCTCTCCCTGCAGGGATTCACCCTTCCCCTCTGTTCCTCCAGCGCTCATTGGGGGACTGTCACTGGAGGGGACAGGACAGGCACAGCTGGTTTCAGCTCTAGAGGCAGAGCCAGCTGTGAGTCAGGCAGCGGAGTGAATCCCGACAATATTATTGGGATCTTTCCTGGCGTGGCTCTGCGCAAATAGTGGGCAGTAACTTGCGAGATCCTGACTTGGGGTCACATGCATACATTAGTAAATATACTCCTTGGACCCAAAAAAGGACAAAGCCCTCAAAAAGTTACTTTTGTCTTTAAAGGAAAGTTCTAATGGTTTTATGACCATTTTAACATTTTTTTCCCACATGTCAGTTTGCTATATATGATCATGATTAAATTTTATAGAGGGTTACCAGAGCATGATAGGTTAGACAAACAGCACTGCAGAGAAGCTTGCTATCCAGGTCCATGTCTGATACAAGTCTTAAAGTTGTCTAATAAGAGTCTCTGTCCTGACTCAAGTTCCTTAAAGAGAATGTTAGGTCTAGAATAAAATGAGAGCTCCTTGTAAAGAAAGGCATTTACAATTGTCCTTCCGCCAATGCTGCGAGCATTTGTTGTCTTGATCAGATAACTTTGCTAAAGAATCTGCTGCACCTGTCAAATGCCTGGTTTCCACTTTGTAGTTTGTTAGCCCAAACATCACTACAGAACACAGTGACACAGGGCCAGCAAAAACAAAAAAGAGGGAATGATACATAAAAAAAACACTACTGTTAGGGAAGGCAGGTGTTGTCGCCCTATAAGAGCTCTTTAGAACTTAAAGGGTTATTAAACCCTCTGGTGTTTTTGCATATATCTACTGCTAGCAAGCAGTAGATATATTTAAAAAAAAGTGTTAAAAAAAAAAAGATTTAAAAGCGGTTTAAACTTACATGTGAAAATTCTTGGGTGACCGCAAAGCATCTTGGGGCGGGCGCATGCGCAGTTCACATTTTCGGCCGGGAGACGAGGATAGACCCAAGGTAAGTCTATGGATACGTGCACCCGTATGCAGGCACCGTGGGACAAGAAGTGCCAGCAAGGACAGAGGAGTCAGCGCTGGATCGGAGAACCGCAGCAGCGCTGGAGGGACAGATGAAAACGACAGGAAAGATCGGATTAACAAACATCATTTAAGGTATGTGCTTTTATTAACATTGGGGGGAGGGAAAAATGTTTTTTACTTTAATGTCACTTTAATGTAATGCTTACTTTAATGTTAAGCCTTACCTAAGCTGCCAGGCATACTTGCGAAGAAACAGCCCTCAGGGTATAAAGCAGTGAGATGCTGAAGGAGGTTTTATTCAAATATACAAAAATACAGTGGGTTGCAACTAATGCCCTTATAATGTCAAATTTAAGGGGTGTTTAAAGTCTATGTCCAGGGGGAAAAAAAAAACTCCCATTGAAGTGGGTCTACTCTTGCGCTGCAAGGGCTAAAGGCTCGCCCTCCACTTGCGGGCTGAATACAAAATTGTGCAGTATACATTTCATATGTCCCTGACTAAATAAATATTTGTTTTTTCTCTTGATCACAAGTGCAAAACCCTTTCCCTTGTGCATTCCCTTTAATTTTAGTGATACCCTTGATCTGTATTGTAGTAATAAACTATACTACAATGTTGCAATGGTTTTGGCAATATGTAAATTTGTGCATCATACGCTTATACAATACTTTATTTGCTAATGTGTAGTTTTTACAAAGTGTATTTGGTTGTGTACAGCCATTGGTCCATTGGTATTCTTAGTGAAGTTTTTTGTTTTGCCTCTATTGGGAAAGTAACTTGATACTGAAATGTCTGCAGCATTTGTGCCTACAAAATATGTACAAGTAATAATCAAGCCTGTAAAGCATACGGCATAACCAAACTAAAAAGCAAATCAATGCATTTTTAGCAATACTGATTCATATTTTAAATTATTTTTTTTAAACCATTACTTTTTTTGTTTGATCAGGACAAAGCTTGGGTTATGGTTTTGTGAACTACATTGACCCCAAGGATGCTGAGAAGGCGATCAATACCCTGAATGGACTAAGGCTTCAGACCAAAACCATTAAAGTAGGTCCAGGTTTTTTTTTTTGTCTTAACATAAAAATGTGTGTCCTTTTTTGTCTAGTCATAAATGTTTGCAACTTAAAAGGCCATTCAGTTTTTTGCTTTAAATATGCTAGTTTCATGTTTCAGTTGTTGAGAGGAAAACAACAAATCATTATACTAATCAGAAAGGTTTGTGGTAACTGAATTGTACTGAAATTCATATTTCCTAGTTACATTAAAGGAGAACTATTGACTAACCGTTTTTGGCCATAGTTCTCTTCAGGGTCACAGGAGGACATATACTAATGTCCTCCAGTGACCCAAAACTCTGTATATAGTGGGCTAATGCAGAGCTGCCTTGCAGCTGGGACAGATGTAGACAATATTATCGAGATCCACCCTGCTGGCTGATTGACAGCTGTCTCTGCCTATCTAGAAGCAAAGCCAGCTGTGCCCACCCCCTCCCTGTCCATTCCTCCAGTCAGAAACGGAGAGGTGAGGGAGGATTGGTAAGTGATCGGCGGTATGCGTTCGCTGACTTCCTGATCAATAGAGCTGACCTGTGACGACTTCAGGAAACTCGCATATTCCTAAACCATAAAAGAGCTTCCAAACAAGCTATTCCTGACTAGGTTATTCCGTCCTAATGATAACAAAGGCTTTGTAATTGGTTTCTAACAGCTTTGAAGCACCTACTGGTTTACATACAAAGCAATTGTTTAACCCTTCCACTGCCAGTAATTTTTGTGTTTTTTTTTTTTTTTACCTGTTTAAAATGCACATTTTAGGCCCAAAGATTACTGAAACCCCCCAGAATGGAATATATTTCCTGAAAACAGAGAACCTGAAGAATAAAAATAGGCAATTTATGTTGCATCATATTAGCGCTACTGTTTATAAAGCCCACATTTTCATAAACAAATACACGCTGATTTTAATGCCCCCACACAATAATATATCCATTTTGTTTAGTAAAATATAAAAAATTGTTAGAGCAGTAAAGTTACCAAACTAGTCAAGCTTAAGAAATTGTGCGCACCTGTTACATGTCAAAAAGCTACGGTACCCAAAGTTAGATAATGCTTTAAAAAGTTTTATAGGTCATCAGTTTGGAGATGTGTGAAAAATGACCCTAGCATTTTCTTTCACTCTGGTGTGTGGATATGCCAATTTTTTTTTTTTTTTACTTTATTGCTATTCCAAGGGGTGCTCACAGGCTCACCCCTGTGGGATAGCACTTTATTGGTAATAGGTTATGTTGCACCCCAATGTCCCCTAAAATTAAGCTGATCTAGCGCAGATCATGCTTGATCAGCTTCGAGGCCAAGGGATGTCAACTCAGAAACTGGAGGTGACAAAATAATCGTTGCTTCTAGGTTCATTCAGAAGGGAGATAATCAGCAAACGGATGTGCTGTGCCTTTCCTGTGTCTGCAGTAGAGGGGCAGTGGAGCCCACATTTTTGGGGAGGCCTGTGGAAATGATTGGGTGGCTGTGTCAGTCTGCTTTAAACTTGCCATACACCTTACAATTATCTGCAGATTTTCTGTGGTCAAATGGAAAAGGTGCAACAGATTCCTCCATCTACACTTAACTGTGTGGATGGAGTAATCTCCACCTGGGCCAATCAGTTGCACTTTTTCCATCTGACCACAGAAAATCAGCAGATAATTGTGAGGTGTGCCTTTACTCGTGTAATCAGACTTCTGTAGGGCTGCAATTAATGATTTTTTTCATAATTGACTAGTTGACTTATTTAATTTTTTTTATCTGATCAAAATAAAGTACCATCCTTAATTTAAAATAAATTACACAAATGCAGTGATACAAACTAGGGATGTCCCCATACCGATGCCAGCATCGGAATTGGGCCCGATACAGGGCATTTTGACAAGTACTTGTCAAAATGCCCCGATACATAGCGCCGAAGCTTGGGATATGGTTTTTTTTTTTCTTACTTACCTCGCCGAGTGTCGCATCACTGCTGCTCCGGTGGGCGGCGCTCCACGCGGGGGTCCATATGGCCGGAGACTGCCATATGACCCTGCTCGGAGCGCCGCCCACCGGAGAAGCAGTGACGCTCAGCGAGGTAAGAAAAAAAACGCAGCGGAGAGTCAGTGCTGGTCCAGCGAGAGGAGCTGCAGATGGGGTTTTAATTTAGCTGGCCGGCACCTCTGAGCCAGCTAAATTAGATAGTATAATTGTAAATGTTTTGTCTGCACTGTATTAGCAGTATATACTCTATATGTACTACATACTGTATAGGGTACACACTGCTAATACAGTGCAGACAATACATTTACAATTATACTCTGATAACATGAATGGATTAAATGATCTATATGTAGCCCTGTACTATGGATCATTTAATCCATTCATGTTAGCAGAGTATAATTGTAAATGTATTGTTGCAGGCATTCTATATGTACTGTACATGTACTATATACTACATATATAGACTGCACTGCTACAATAGATTTACAATTATCCCCTGCTAATATGAATGGGTTAAATGATCCATAGTACAGGGCTACATATAGATCATTTAATCCATTCATGTTAGCAGAGTATAATTGTAAATGTATTGTTGGAGGCACTCTATATGTACTGTACATGTACTATATACTACATATATAGACTGCACTGCTACAATAGATTTACAATGATCCCCTGCTAACATGAATAGGTTACATCATGATCCATAGTACATGATATGTAGCCCTGTACTATGGATCATGATTTAACTTATTCATGTTAGCAGGGGATAATTGTAACGTTATTACTGCAGTGTACTGGAAGTGTGTACTGTATATGTACTATGGATCATGATTTAACCTATTCATGTTAGCAGGGCAGAATTGTGAGCGCCTCCCACAAGCTGAGCACCGAGACGCAATGCAGCGATCCTGCCCAGTACCAAGAGGCACCTCGTGAGGCAACAGGGATGTGAGTGAAACTGTGAGTGAGGTAAGCTGGGACGGGCTGGCTGTAAATCTATTGCTATAGTGTACTGGACGTGTGTAATGTATATGTAGTACATATATACAGCACACACCTCCACTACATTACAGCAATAGAGTTACAATTCTCCCCTGCTAACATGAATAGGTTTAATCATAATCCATAGTACATAACATGTAGTTGTACTATGGATCATTTAAAGTCACCTGTCCCTTTAAGAAAAAGTATCCGTAATTGGTATCGGCAGTACATGAGGTGAAGTACTTGGGCCTGAAAAAGTGGCATAGGGACATCCCTATTAGAAACCATAAAGTTTAGTGCAATCACACTCCACTGGAATGCACAGCATTGCGGTACCGTGCGTTCCAGTGCGGGTGATCACACTGTGGGTGAGAGGCGTGTTTGGGGTGGCAATAAAATGAATGGCACTGCAACACACCCCTCGCAGCAGAATTTCAGGCCGAAGCCAAAAATGACACTTTCCCCACCATTTTTTATTTTTTTTTGTAATTGTATTGTAAGCACGTGGTGCTTGAATAGCTTCAGCCAGGGAATGACAACTGCTGGTGGTGGAGAGCTAGGGAATCCAACTAGTCCAGTATGATAATAGTTGACAACTATTCTCATAATTATCGATTAGTTGGTGGCAGCCCTAAACTCCTTGCATACGTCGGTGGAAGTGAAAGGACTAAAATGATTTTACTGCTTATTAATGCACAATATTTATGTATTCTGATCTGCGCACAGGTTTACTTTAAAACACTGCACAGCTTATAGGTAGAGGGTTAAAAAAGAAGCACTGTAGGGTAACGACATGGCAGAGTGACGCACCTCCAAAACTGCTCTCCTGCCCCGCTCTGACTACTGGATTATCACGGACACTTAACTCATCAATTATGAGCTCATCCAGGAGGAGAAAGAATCAATAATTAAAAAAAAAAAAACTTACAGCCGCCAAAATCACTAATTCGTTCCTGAGGCTCTGACCAGATCGAGTGTAGGTGGCAATGAAGCCGCAGACTCTCCCGACTTACTGGTTCTTTTGTCACCCTCCGAACCACGCCTCTTCCTGCTGCCAACACAGAATATACTGAATATACTGCATAATGGCAGCACCACAATTAAGATAACAGCTGAGCCGGAGGGCATGAATATTGGGGCTCTGCTGCGATCCTTGCCAACAAACGCTGACATTGAGGCCTTGATTGCTAAAATTAAAGAGACCCACAGCAGCGAGATTCAAGAGATAGCCACTGAGGTCTCCCAATTATCAGCAAGAGTCGACAAACGGCAGTTTCTGCAGCCGTAGAAGTGAGACACTTTTCTGGAAACCTTTAGAGCTGCACAGACCCACAGGCTCTCAAAATCACAACTACATTTGGAGGACTTTGAAAACAAAAGTTGACGCAATAATTTGCGGCTTCGGGGTATCCCTGAGGCTATGTGCCCTGAGAATGTTCTTGCCACAGTGGTGGCCATCTTTAACAAACTCTTGGGAAATCCTGAATCTTCTTCGGTGGAGTTAGACCGTGCACACGCAGCACTGGGTCCCAAGTCAATGGACCCTGCCTGCCCTCTGGATATTATTAGCCAAGTCCAAGTTTTCCGTTAGAGGTGATTTTGCATAAGGCGTAGACACATGGCCTGTTTGATTTTGATGGAGCAAAGATTCACATCCTTTCCGACTTTTCTCATGCCACGTTTCAGCGCAGGCTTATATTGCTACCCCTACTGGAATGCCTCCGGAGTACAAACATTGTTTACTGTTGGGGTTAACCCTTTTTTAATTTGATTTATACTTGAAACATTCCTTTTTCTTTCTCCGGATCCAGCAGATCTACTTTTTTTAAATGGAACCAATTACCCCCCTGGACTGGCTACAATATCTTACCGGTTGTTCCAGGAGACTGCGAGTTCCTCTTCCTGAATGCTTGTCCGGCTCTTGGCTCTCCCAACGTCGACGCCTGCGAGGATCTCAATCCCCTGGCTCTACTAATGAACTTGGACAAAAGCTTTGCATTTCAATTTTTTTCGAGATCCCCTACCACCTTTTGAACTCCT